ATATATTTTTTTAAAAATTTGATTTTGTCGTTGAGATATTTTTTTCTTATTATAATGTTCTGGTCTTTGAATATTGTCAGTAATACAAATAATCAATTCTTAGAAGTTTCACTGCTTCAATGACCAAAGACAACAAGAAATTCTTCATCTTTTGAAAATTTAAAAAATTTACTTATATTTTTTTAAAAATTTGATTTTGTCGTTGAGATATTTTTTTCTTATTATAATGTTCTGGTCTTTGAATATTGTCAGTAATACAAATAATCAATTCTTAGAAGTTTCACTGCTTCAATGACCAAAGACAACAAGAAATTCTTCATCTTTTCAAAATTTAAAATTTACTTATATTTTTTTAAAAATTTAATTTTATCGTTGTGATATTTTTTCCTATTATAATGTTTTTGCCTTTGATTATTCTCAGTAATAGAAATAATCAATTCTTAGAAGTGTCACTGTTTCAATGACTAAAGACAACAAGAAATTCTTGTTCTCTTTAAAATTTAAAACATTTATTTATATTTTTTTAAATTTTGATTTAGTCATTCTGAAAATGTATTCTTCTCATAATTTTGTTGTTTTCGAATATTATTAGTAATAGAAATAGTAATTTATCAGGAGTTTAAATGCTTAAATGACCAATGACAACAAGATTTTTTTTTTAAATTTAATTTCTGTATTTTAATTTTGTCTTTTTTAATATTCTTAAATGTCTAATGAAAACCAGAAATTCTTAAGTTTTAAAAATTAATCTAAAAAAAAATATGAATTATAAGGAAATTTTCGAATATTTCAATTACATTATTCTCAATTTAAGACTAAACTAAATAAACGCTCTTAATGGTTATATATAAATGAATGGACTGAGGAAAAAAACGTGACCGACACATTACGCAACCATCAAGAATTCGGCCCTGTTAACGTAAATTGAAATTCTTCATTTGGAACATAACATAACATAAAACGGTCTTATTTAGGAGTGATTGTGAGTTCAATCAATATAAGATTGCTTCGTGAGAAATAAAAATCAACGATTTCAGGATATTGTAATTGCTGTTTCGATATACGCTCGACCTGTTAATTCTATGGGCCAACAATAACAATAAAAATACTATATAAGTTTGATATTAGGAAAGTCTTAAATAAAAATTACACGAATTACTTTATAAAAATAATCCGCAAAATAAAATTTCATTTACGTGATTCGGATAGCACTTAATCCTATTAGACC